TATTTATACTTCTCATTCAACCACAACTAAATTCACTCTATCTAGGAGGCACAGTTTATATGGATAGTATTTATTTTTTACAACAACAAGCTGGAATGAAAACAAGCAAAAATGAAATCAATGACTTTCTGCTTTTTGCCTTTTTAAAAAATTTAGTGAGTAGAAAGTACAGATAATTGTGTGAAAATGTAAGAAGTAGAAGTAAAAAGTAGGCTGAAAAATAATTACTCAAGTAAAGTACAGATACCCAAAAATTCTACTTAAGTACAGTAATGAAGTATTTGTACTTAGTTACTTTACAACTCTGTTTATTACACACCATATTAACACCATAACTACTTGGACAGGTGCTGTTCAAAAAACCATTCCCAGCGCAGAATGAAAGCTACTTCTACACAGTGACTGGTTTGCGTCCCTGGACCCAGTACGAGTTCAGCGTCTGTGCTCACAACCCAGCTGGACAGACCTGCAGCCCCTGGGAAACCATAACAACCAGACAAGCCCCTCCTCGCGGCCTAGCGTCTCCAAAAGTGACTCACATTCAAGGTCGGCCCAGTGAGGTGATGGTGTCCTGGGCTCCTCCGTTAGAGCCTAATGGGGTCCTACAGTCCTACAGGATTCAAAGAAACAACATCAGTTTTTCTTTCAGTTTTGACCCGACAGTCCACACCTACACAGATGAAGACCTGCAGCCATTTTCAACATATGGGTATTGTTTTCATTTATTTTTAGATTTTTTAAAATTATTATATACTTAATAGCTCACAAGATAAAAATTAATTCTAATGGATTTTTTTTTCTGATAGATACTCAGTAATAGCCTGCACATCTGAGGGGTGTATCATCAGTCCGCAGACAAACATCACAACACTTGAGGCCCCACCTGCGACGGTGGAAGCTCCCACAATGAACACCATAACATCTGATAGTATTAACATATCATGGAGGAAACCACTGGTGCAGAACGGAGACGTGACAGAATATGTGCTGAAACTCAACAACAAGGAGGCTTATCGGGGGAGAGACCTCGGTGTTGTGTTGTCATATCTGCAGCCGCACACGTCATACCAGCTGGTTCTGTTAGCCTGCACCCGAGGTGGCTGCACGACCAGCGACACAGTGACTGTAGAAACTAAGGAGGCTCCTCCAACGGACCTGGACCCTCCAGCTCTAAAGGTGTTGACTTTATTTTTGGCATAAACGTTTCAACATTTAATGCCACTGTAAGAAAATTCAGTGTTTGTTAACTGAAATCATGACAAAACCACATGAATGTTGAATAGATTAAAATGTGAAGAGAATGACCATACAACACCAGTTACTGGAGTCTGAACGGTGATTTAATCAGGGTTCCTAAGGCATTGAAGTCATCAATCCAAAAATAAGGCCTTAATTAGCCTTAAAATGTCTTAAATCAATCTGTCAGTAGTCTTAAAAATGTTAACACGTTGTACGTAGGATGATTGTAATTTGTCTCAAATATTAAAATAATTGGTAACATTTTTTTAAACATTCACATGCAAATATCTCAACAACCGTTCATCTGAGCATCGTGAAATTCGTTTCATAATATGTCAATAATGTTGTATTTCCAAAAATGTATTCACATTTCTTACAAAAAGTTGATGTCACAGGCACTTTAAGGTTTCATCTACAGCAAATTAGGGTTAAGACCCCACTGTGGGTCCTAAAGCTCCTAATTTTGGGTCGTTACAGGATTTCCAGGAATTAAATTAAGTTTAAAACTAACTGCTAAGAATGTTTTTGCTGTATTTGACAAAAAAGCAGTTCAATATGGTTAAAAACAATTGACTTATTAGGAATATTTGAATACTTCAACCAAAAATAATTTGATTCATGAGTTTCTGCTAGTTTTAAATTTTTTGTCCTTTGTGTTTATTGTGAAATTGGTCTTAAATTTAATTTCATTTGGCATTAAAAAGTCTTAAATTTAACTTGCCTTAAACTGTAGGAACCCTGTTTAATGCTGTCAGTTCAGGCAAGAAATCATCGCTGCCGGAAACCTGGAAGTGCAGGTCTATTTACCAAGTTCTTCAGTGTCTGGTACGCCCACTACAGGCCTACGGCTGAATCGCAGACACCCGTACAGAAATCCTTTCCTTATGTTTGATTAACGGTTTTATCTATGTGTTGTCATGGTGTTTTAGGCGTGTAAATAAAGCTATTTTAATCAAGACATAACAGTCAAACAATAGATTATAAGAATCAATACTTAAAAAGGAGAACTATGAAATGGTGTGGTGCTTTTAAAATCAGTTTCTAAATGACTAATGAATTTCTTCACTACAATCTGTGAGAAATTAATTAGAAGAAACTGAACACTTTTTGCCATCAGATTCATTTAAGTTTTTTATTTTATGCAAATAATTAACCATTTCCTCCCCTCTCTTAAATAGTTTTTCAAAACACCACTGCAAATCAAACCTATTTGATTTTCATTTTAACTTGTCATCAAAAGGTTACTGGCCCAGAGTCAGTGGAGATCAGCTGGGGACCACCAAAACACCCTAATGGCATCATCACTGGGTATGAGCTCCGCAGAGATGGTAAACTTATTTACTTTGGCACAAAGACCCATTACCATGACTTCACCCTTCTGCCAAGCATGGAATACAGCTTTGTTGTCATTGCCAACAACAGCCGAGGGGCTGTGAGCAGCAAGGTAGCCACAGCAAAAACTCACCCATCAGCTCCTTCTGGTGTGGGTCTCCCCTCACTAAAGCCACTGGAGGCAGGCCAGGTGGATTATTCATTTATTGATTCTTTGTAAACGGTGCTAAATCAGGACATTCAAACATTGTTGCACAGGTTTGAATCTGTGGCTTTTATCATACCAGGTGAAAGTGGAGTGGCAGACCCCAGCCCGACCTAATGGAGACATTGTGGGATACAATGTGTATTTAAGAGATCCAGTCCAGCTTAGCATCAACAGCACTACATTGAGTCCAGAAGATGCTGCATTTTCTTACAGACAAACCATTCTGCGTGGGCTGGCTCCGTATCGCAGGTCAGTCAGAGCTTTTTTTTTTAGTGCTTTAACTCCTGTTAAAAAGTACTGATTTAAAGAGGAACAAATGTTAGCTTTCATAACAAGTTTTAAAGGGGCAATATCATGTATAATCAACTTTTTTTTGAGTTTAATATCATGTTATAATGTTATACTTTCATTAAAAAACATGTCCAAAGCCTTGCTTTGACTCATTCATGCATGTTTGAGAAATCATGCAGTGTTTTTAGGAAGCCATGCTGAGGAGCAAAACGACAGGTGGGGACCAGAAACGCCCCTGGGATGTGTCTTTAAGCTGAACTTCCTCATGGCAGGGCTCCCTCCCTCCCCTCATACCCCGCCCATGACTCCTGCAGGCCCTCGGCAGTAACAGAGCAAACTGAAAGTGAAACTTAAACTGTCTGCTGCTCTTAACACTACTTCTCACTCAGTGAAGCTCTTTTCAGAATCAAAATACCTTTGAGGACATGTATTTTCAGATGCCAAGTGAAATGCATCATAGCGGGTGCGCGACCCTATACCCCCCTCCCCGTACCTAAACGGGACGGGACAGAAGTGGAAGGAGGTTCTCAAAGAGACTAAGGCCAATTTCAAGGCGTTTAAAAGAGGAAGTGATGAGAAGATAAGTTTATTTTC